GTAGAGATGAGGTCTCACCATATTGCCCAGGCTGGTCTTCAGCTCCAGGGCTCAAGTAATCCTCCTGCCTCAGTCTCCCAAAGTGCTGGGATTATAGGTGTGAGCCACCATGTCTGGTCTTTAGTCACTGTTTCTACTACATGCCAGTATCAGAACTATTTAAACATTCTTTTATTACTGTATATTTGATTGTTTCCAACTTATCGAAGTGATTTTAAAATTTGAAATATATGATATAGAATAAAAGGAAACATCTGAGTGGGTTACTATAAAAACATAAAGGAGAGTCCCTGCTAGAGAGAGGTGGTTGATTCTCAGGCACAGGTTACACTGGATTATTACTACCCTACAGAAAAACTATGAACTAGCTTATCACCAGCCTCCAAAGGACTAGGGGTTCCACAGGCAGCAAACACCGTCCACATGCCAGCCAGGCAATGCTAAGAGACAGGAGCTACAAGTCATACAGTCTTGGGATGGGCATGTGGGTTGTACATACTAGCTTAGAATAGTGTGGGTATTTTTTCCTTTTTTTTTTTGAGACGGAGTTTTGCTCTTGTTTACCCAGGCTGGAGTGCAATGGCGTGACCTCGGCTCGATCTTGGCTCACCACAACCTCTGCCTCCTGGGTTCAGGCAATTCTCCTGCCTCAGCCTCCTGAGTAGCTGGGATTACAGGCACGCGCCACCATGCCCAGCTAATTTTTTGTATTTTTAGTAGAGACGGGGTTTCACCATGTTGACCAGGATGGTCTCAATCTCTTGACCTCGTGATCCACCCGCCTTGGCCTCCCAAAGTGCTGGGATTATAGGCGTGAGCCACTGCGCCGGCCATTTTTTCCTTTTTTTAACTGTTCAGCAAGCTGAGGGTGATGCAGAGCTACTGAGAGGACCCTGTGGGTATGTGTGGCCTCTAGTTCCCTTTCTCTTGAACTAGAACAGCTGAGAGCTTTAATCTTATCAGGTTGATGCAAAAGTAATTGCAGTTTTTGCCATTTTTTTAACGAACTGAAACTTAAGAATCCACCTTGTAAGTTAAAAAGTATCTGAAAACAACTCTCTAAGAACATGCTTCATCAAAGGAAAGAAGTTAGTCTTCATCACTACCCTGCAAATATAATGAAGGTGTCTTACTAGGGCAGTGACAGCAGAGTAAAGAAAGGGGAGACTCCAAAGCGGAGGAGAGGCTCCTGGGCCCAGAGTCAGGGCGCCATGGTGATGACTGAGCAGGAAGGGAGGCTGGGACCAGCAACAAGTGCTTCCTCTTCTTGGGCACTAAATATAGGGATGAGGACTCTGGGGCCCAGAGCCAGAAAGAGGCTAAGGAAGCAGGTGAAAGGTCAACGGGTATTTCTTGAAGGACCCCTGTGTGCCAGGCACCCATCCCAGCTGGGCACAAAATAGACTGAATTCTGCCCTCAGCAGGTTTACCTTCTGTTGGGGGAGAGAGAGAATACATTAAGGAGGAAAGAGCAAATTTGCCGAGGTGGATAGAGAAAGGCACGCCAGCTGAGATGGAGAGGAAAGTGCAGCAGAGGGTAGGGGCTCCATGCTGCGAGTTGTGTGGCCAGAGAAGGCGGACTGTGAGCAGGGCCTGAGGAAGCTGAGATTTCTGAGGAAGGAGTGCCCCAGGCTGGGGGAAAGCACACAGGCCCAGGAGTGGATACACACCCAGAGTGCTCGAGGAGGGTAAAAAGGCTGGAGCAGAATGAGTGAGAGGAGAGTCCCAGTAGCTAAGCTGAGAGAAGCAGAGGAGAGGGCAGGCAGAGGGCCTTGTGGGCACTAGGCAGAGGAGTGACAGCTCCAACTAGCTTCCCACTTCTGCTCAGAGAACAGTCCACTTTGGGTCGAGGAGGTGCTGAGTGTGGAAGCCTGAAGACCAGACAAGGGGCCATCAAAAAATGATGGAGGCTCAGACCAGGTACAGCAGGAAAGGAAAGCAGCGGTGAGTTTTTTTCCAGGTGTGTTCTGAAAGGTGGACCGGAGTCAGGAGTGAGATGGGAGATGAATCAAGATGACTCATGCGTTTTTATTCGCCTGAGCAACTGACAGGATGGAACATTCAGAAATTGACCTATTTGAATTTTATTTCTTTTCAGTTTTCTTTTTTTTTCGAGATGGAGTTTTGCTCTTGTTACCCAGGCTGGAGTGCAATGGCGCGATCTCGGCTCACCGCAACCTCTGCCTCCTGGGTTCAGGCAATTCTCCTGCCTGAGCCTCCTGAGTAGCTGGGATTACAGGCACGTGCCACCATGCTAATTTTTTGTATTTTTAGTAGAGACGGGGTTTCACCATGTTGACCAGGATGGTCTCGATCTCTTGACCTCGTGATCCACCCGCCTCGGCCTCCCAAAGTGCTGGGATTACAGGCGTGAGCCACCGTGCCCGGCCCTCAGTTTTCTTTCTCACAGTCTAGTAGCATTACTCTAAAGCTATAAAATGGCCATAGAGAAAAACAGGAAAAGCAGCCGATAGGGTACAGCAAACAAAATAATCAGTCCGAATGATGAACAGTTGGCTAGAATTGCCTTGAGGGTTAAAGCAGATGTAAAATTTAGAAAAGAAATAGCAGGAACAAGTACTTAATAACCAATCAAGTGGTAGGATGTGGTAGGATCTGGCCTACTGAGTTGTCATCAGGTCCATAAGGAAAAAAAAGGGATGCTGCTCCTTCATTTATTTTATACATAAAATTATCCCACTGTCTCGTGCTAAAAGGATGGCTTTGGCAGTTGCCGTCTCTTCTCTCTCCTTATTTATTTTTCAGAGATGGAGTCTCACTCTGTCGCCCAGGTTGGAGTACAGTGGCCTGATCTCAGCTCATTGCAACCTCCGCCTCCTGAGTTCAAGTGTTTCTCCTGCCTCAGCCTCCTGAGTAGCTGGAATTACAGGTGTGTGCCAGCACGCCCAGCTAAGTTTTGTATTTTTAGTGGAGACAGGGTTTTGCATGTTGGCCAGGCTGGTCTCAAACTCCTGACCTCAAGTGATCCTCCTACCTCGGCCTCCCAAAGTGTTGGGATTACAGGTGTGAGCCACCGCACCCAGCCTCTCTCTATATTTAAAATTCCTGGCTTTTTAAATGAGCACTTTGTGGAAACTGAGCCTCACATAAACGGTAAGGCAGAAGAACTGCTTTCACTAGCACCCTGCTAAAAAACCTGGTCCCATAACCCTGTCTTCTCTCCTTGAAACGTCCCTCCATGGAAATGTGCAATGGCATCCTCTCCAGCTTCCATCCGTTCCATGACATTGCTTTTCCTTGTCCTCTGTGCTCCCAGAGTGTCAGCTTTAGCTCTTCCCACTTGACTGTGCTCCAGTGACCACTGACAAATTTACATCACTCACATCTCCTACTAAATAATTCCAGGAGGCAGATACCATGTGTGAGTCTTGCTATCAATGGCACTGATCTCAGCTTTGGGTACATAACAGTCATAGTAAATGCTGGCTAAGTAAATGATCTAATTTCTTCACAAGTGATACATAAAACATTATCAAGCACTATCTTACCACCTACAAAATAGTAAACTGTTCGCTATAATAGGACTCCTTCAAAGACACAAACAACATAAAAACAACACTGCTTAGGAACTAAAATGATACATGTATTTTTTTGAGACAGGATTTTATTATGTCACCCAGGCTCGAGTGCAGGGGTGTGATCACAGCTTACTTCACCCTTAACCACCTGGGCTCAATCAATCCTCCTCCCTAGCTGGGATACAAGCTTGTGCCATCATGCCTGGCTAATTTTTTTCCTCACCATATTGCCCAAGGTTTCACCATGTTGCCTAGCCTGGTCTTGAACTCCTGGGCTCAAGTGATCCTCTCATCTCGGCCTCCCAAAGTGCTGAGATTATAGGCTTGAGCCACTGTGCTTGGTCTAAAATGATTTTTTACTTTAAGTTTTCTTCACAACTTAACTAAAATGCAGATAAAGTTTTCTTTATATCAATAGTTAAAAGGTTTAGTTATTTATTATTTATTTTTTAAGAGACAGAGTCTAACTCTCTCGCCCAGGCTGGAGCGTAGTGGTGTGATCTTGCCTCACTACAACCTCCCCACCTCCTGGGTTCTAGCAATTCTCCTGCCTCAGTCTCCCGAGTAGCTGGGACTACAGGCACATGCTGCCAGCCTGGCTAATTTTGTTTGTATTTTAATAGAGACAGGGTTTCACCGTGCTGCCAAGACTGGTCTCAAACTCCTGAGCTCAGGCAATCCACCCACCTTGGCCTCCCAAAGTGCTAGGATTACAGGCGTAAGCCACTGAGCCTGGCCTTTTTTTTCTTTTTCTGAGACTGCGTCTAACTCTTTCGCCCAGGCTAGAGTGCAGTGGCGTAATCTCGGCTCACTGCAACCTCCGCCTCCCGGGTTCAAGCCATTCTCCTGCCTCAGCCTCCTGAGTAGCTGGGACTACAGGTGACTGCCACAACACCTGGATAATTTTTGTATTTTTAGTAGAGATGGGGTTTCACCATGTTGGCCAGGCTGATCTCAAACTCCTGACTTCAAGTGATCTGCCTACCTTGGCCTCCTAAAGTGTTGGGATTACAGGTGTGAGCCACTGCACCTGGCCTAAGATGATGTTTTACTTTAAGGTTTCTTCTCAACTTAATTAAGATACAGATAAAGTTTTTATATCAGTAGTTAAAAAAAATTTAAATAAAGATTGCTATTAATCAGTATTTTTCCTTGTTGCCAGTCTTTTCCATCTGGAAAATTCCTTGCTGATATTCTTATTTTTCATTCGGTTCCTGAATTGACTTTTATATTAAGAAGCTGTCCTTCTCAAACTGAGGTCCATGGTGGTAACATAATTTAGGTTATCATACTTATAAAACATGTAATCTCTTGCAGGTAGGGAATATGTAAATATGGAGTATCTACAAATTAGTCAATTTCCTAAGCTTCACACAGTTTCCAAGTCCCATATTTATGAGTTCCAAATACCTGTCAGTTAGACTGAATGAAGTGACTTTACAGAGGACTGGCAGTACTTACTCTTCCTTTCTTTTCATATTCTCTCTTGCCTGCTGAGCTTTGGTGAGAATAAACCACTGGAGATTTGCTGGATCGCAGAGTGCTGGAATATTAAAATGCCCGAGTTCATGCAAGCTTGGAGCATATCTGTCACTGCAATAAAATATACATTAAAGGAAAAACCGTTGACCCTCTCCTCTCCCCTACCAGGGAGAATTGTTATTAGTCTTTGGGAAAATTTAAAACAAAAATCATGGAGAAAAGCCAACTCGAAAGTACAGCAGTCACTGATTAAAGCTTTGCTGCCCCCGAAGACACATTTCTTCAGGATTGTGACATGCTTGCAAACCCTCTGATCTTTCTTATCTATCACATGCCGGGGTGACCTGCTGCACAGTGAGGTTGTGAGAGTTAAAGACAGAATGCATGTAAATACCCAGCATAGTTCTCGGCAAACAGTGTATACACCACAAATGTTGGCTACTGATTTAATATTAGTTTAATCTTATAATGTTTTCCACTAGATTGACTTTGCCCAGTAAATCTGTTCAGCAATATAGTCAAAGAATGTTCTAGACATTAAATCCTTCAGACCTCCCATGCTGGTGTTTCTAGTATGTAGAAGAGGATTGCTAACACAAGTAGTGGCATTCTTTTAATTCCTAAGAACTACACATCAAAATACAAAACAATTTAATGCATTTACACACACAACCCACCTAAGGGAAGGAATCGAATAATCCTTCTATCTTAGATATTTACCTGTTAAGGATCATTTGTAAACCACGCAAACTTCGAGGGTGAAAAGGTATTCTATTTTTCAACAGTCTGTTATAAAACACATCAAGAAGAGAGTAATATTCTTCAAGTGTCAATACTGGCTGTAATTCTTCAATATAAACAACTTGTATGCCACCTAAAAGATAGCTTATTTGGTCTTCTAAAAGCATCAGCCTCCTCTGAAGGTCAAAATAACTTGGCAATCTTTCAAAAAGCTACAGTATTAAAAAAAGGAAATAAATAATTAATTTTATGTTACCATAATAATTTGATTTTAGAATTCCAATAAATGGCATTAAGATATTTTAACAAGAAAATTGCTTTCATAGAAGGAAAGTTCAAGTAAGAGATTAAAAAAAAAAAGACAATGTAATACTGGAAATAATAATATTCAAAACAAGCCACTGTAAATCTTTTTAAAAAAAATTTATTTATTTTACTTTAGGTGAAATGTAAATCAAAACCACACTGAGATACCATCTCACGCCAGTTAGAATGGTGATCATTAAAAAATCTGGAGACAACAGATGCTGGAGAGGATGAGGAGAAATAGGAACATTCTTACACTGCTGGTGGGAGTGTAAATTAGTTCAACCATTGTGGAAGACAGTGTGGCGATTCCTCAAGGATCTAGAAATAGAAATTCCATTTGACCCAGCAATCCCATTACTGGGTATATATCCAAAGAACTATAAATCGTTCTGCTATAAAGACACATGCACATGTATGTTCACTGAAGCCACTGTAAATCTTTGGGATTTTTAGATGGGAATTTGTGAGATTCCAAAAAAATAACAATATGCTCCAAATAATGTAAGTCTTAATCATAAGCACTAATATTTAAATATTTAGATAAGAATCTTAAGTTGGTTTAGAATTATTAATGGTATAATAAAGGTTTTAGAAATAAAGTGTATGTATTTCAACTCAGTGTATTCCTTGAAAATTTACTTTAAAGCAACTATATGCAATTAAATGCAATAAATACGACTGTGCACCTACCATGTATGTAAGCACTGAGCTGGGCACTTGAAGTGTACAGAATATAAGAGTTTGTCCCAGTTTGGCTGGGACTCACAGTTGGTGTACAAGGACACAAAAATCCAAATTTAGCATACTAAATGCCACATCAGGGTGAGTGGATACAGAGGAGGTTCAGGCAAAGGTTTCTAAGGGAGTCTAATTAGATCTCTCTTAAACAGTAAGTAGGATTTAGAAATGGCACATGAATGTGGGGGATGTTTTGGGGGAAGAAAAAAGAGCACGTGCAAATATGGAACCAAGAAAGAACAGCCATGTTTGGAAACAATAAGGAGTTTGGTTTGGCTGGCATGTGACCTGCTGCAAGTGAGTGAAAAGAGAAGGGCTGAGGGAGGATGTAGAGGCTGGATCAGGGGAGGACCACTAAGGACTTAAGATTTTCTATTAAAAGCCAGGGCCTTTTAGAAGAGTTGGAAGGCATTAAAACCTCTGCTATAATAAAAGCAATAGCTATGTAAAAATTCTACAAAGTATTTATAATCTACTTTTAACATCTTGTGGAAAATAATTTTATTCCCTATTTTTATGTACATATGGTAACTACATTTTAAAAACTTTTTGAGATAATTGTAGATTCATATACCTTTCACTCAACAGTACATCTTATACAATTATTGGTATAATACCACAACCGGGAAATTGACATTGATACAATTCATTAATCTTACTCAGAGTTCATCAGTTTTACTTGCACGCATTTATGTGTGTGTGTGTATTTAATTTTCATGTGTATTCACTGTATTATACGTATATATAATATACAATTTTGACTGTGACACTGCCACAGTCAAAACACACACAAGTTCCATTACAGGTATCCCTTTTATAGCACCGACACCTCTGCTCCCCTGCTGTCTACCTCCTGGCAACCACTAATCTGTTCTTCTTTTCTATGATTTTATTATTCCAAGGATGTTATGTAAATGGAATCATACAGTTTGTAACTTTTTGAGACTTCTTCACTCAGTGCAATGCCCTTGAGATCCATCCAGTTGCTGCATGTATCAATAGCTCGTTCCTTTTTATTGCTGAGTAGGATCCTATGGAATGGATGTACCAGTTTGTTTAGCTATTCACACACTGAAGGACATTCGTTTTTTTCCTAGTTTTTGACTACCATGAACATTCATGTACAGGTGTTTGTGTGAATACAATTTTTCATTTCTCTGCTGTAAATGCCCAAGGGAAACTGCTGGGTCACATTTGGTTTTGTAAGAAACCATTATAGTCTCTTTATCAGAATGCCTGTACCACTTTATAGTCCCATCAGCAATGTATGAGTGGCCCATATTTTTCTGCATTCTCACCAGCATGCAACTGTTTTTCATTTTAGCCATCCTGATAAGTGTGTAATGATAAGGCACTACAGTTTTAAATTGCATTTCCCTAATGGCTAATGATAAATATGGTTTTTTTTTTTTTTTTTTTTTTGAGATGGAGTCTTGCTCTGTTGCTAGGCTGCAGTGCAGTGGCGTGATGTTGGCTCACTGCAACCTCTGTTTCCTGGATTCAAGTGAATCCCCGCCTCAGCCTCTTTTTTTTTTTTTTGAGAAGGAGTTTTGCTCTTGTTACCCAGGCTGGAGTGCAATGGCACGATCTCAGCTCACTGCAACCTCTGCCTCCTAGGTTCAAGCAATTCTGCCTCAGCCTCTTGAGTAGCTGGGACTACAGGCGTGCACCACCACACTGGCTTTAAAAAAATTTTTTATTTTAGTAGAGATGGGTTTTCACCATGTTGGTCAGGATGGTCTTAATCTCCTGACCTCTTGATTTACCCGCCTCGGCCTCCGAAGATGCTGGGATTACAGGCATAAGCCACTGCGCCTGGCTAATAAATCTGTTTTTATGTGCTTAAATGTCATGTGTACATTCTCTTTGGTCACATGTCTTTTCATGTCACTTTTTTGGTTGGATTGGTTTTTTTTAGTTGTCCTTTTTAGTTGGATTTTTAACTGCTAAATTTTGAGAGTTTAAATTGCCCTTTTTCAGTTGGATTGGTTTTTTTTCCTGCTGAAATTTGAGTTTTAAAATATATTCTATATACAATGTCTCTGTCAGATATGTGGTTTGCTAATATTTTCTACCAAATAAAGATTAGATTTGAACAGACACTTCACTAAAGAAGGTAGGTGGATGGCAAATAAGCACATGCAAAGATGTTCGCTATTATTTATTATTAGAGAAATGCAAATTAAACTTACAATGAGATTGTACAATGAGATCGTACCACAATCTCATCATAGGTTTAATTTGCATTAGATTGACTAAAATTAAAAAGATGACCATAGTAAATGTTGGCAGTTTTTAAAAAAGTTAAAATACCATATGATTCGGCCATTCAATTCTAGGTATTAACCCAAGAGAAAGGAAATATATGTCCACATATTTGTACATAAATGTTCATAGCAACTTTATTTATAATAGTCCCAAAGTGATACAACCCTATATCCATCAACAGGTGAATGAATAAACAAACTGTAGTATATTTATACAATAAAATAGTACATAGTAATAAAAAGGAATAAAACTCCCAATACATGCAACAGCATGGATGAATCTCAAAATAAGTGAGTGAAAGAAACCAGATGCAAAAGTTTGCATGCCCTATGATTCCACTTAGGTAAAACTCCAAAACTAATCCATAGTGAAAGAAAACAGACCAGTGGTTGCTTGGAGAGGGGGCTGGTGGGATGGGAGGGAGAGCTTACAAAAGGCCATATGCTTATATATATGCCCAGGTGTTGGATATGTTTGCTATCTTAACTGTAATGATATCTTCTTGGGCATACATATATGTCAAACCTTACCAAATAACACGTAAGAAATGTACAGTTTACTAAATGTCAGCTATACCTCAATACATCTGTTAAGAACAAGTAAAACAAAACAACAGAATATTGGCTTTCAGGCTGTGCTTCAGAAGAGAAGGCAACATTACCAGATAAAAACTGTCTTAAAAATTAGTCTTTCCTCTTAAGTATGTTAAGTACATGATACTTAAGCATCTAATCTGAAAACAGCTGACCCTATGATTAAAAACATTTTTTTTTTTTTTAGTTCACTGCCATTATAGCATTATTGAAAATGAAAGTATATGAGTGATAAGGAGTTTTTAATTTTAAGGCCCTTTCTTACCTTTGTCCAGTGATGATGGACATCCATTGTTCCTAGCATCACATGGCCCACTGCACTCATGCCGGAACGGTCTGTAAATATGATTGTACACCCTGATGATAAAACACAAAACCTCTGGTCATGGTCAAGGAGCTTCATTCTTCAGCACTATGCAAATAATTAAATTTAGTGTATAAACTCAGGATTAAATTCAGTAGAAGCTTAAAGGCTAACTTTATGCCACTGCTTTATTCAAAGAACAGATTTAAAAGTTCAGCTGTAATAAAGTTACTTGGTTTTCCATTAAAATTTATAGATGTACATAGTAGCTAAGTGGTATTTTAAAAGAAAGTGGAAAATGTTTACCTTTTGCTTTTTTAAGTGTTTCCAAATTCTGCTGTGCTAAGCGGCCTAAACTATGCAACTGGCTACAGCGGTGGGCAATGCCCCAGCTCCTCTGCCACCTAGACCAACAGAGCACACAGGAATGTTAACAAGTGGCACCCAAAGAAGGACTGAGCACTCAGCACAAGTGCCAGAGTCCTTGGGAAGTCAATGACTTTCTTTCTGAAGCAGACACATAACACATTTTGATTGATATGTTTCTATGCTAGCTACTTTTTAAAGAAGCAACCAAATGGAAAATGGACTGTTTACCAGAGGGCAGAAATATTACTACTATGTTCAAGTGCCCAAGATTTAAAATAAGCAAATATACAATGTTTCTATTTAAAAATAAGATGACAATGCCGGGCATGGTGGCTCAAGCCTGTAATCCCAGCACTTTGGGAGGCTGAGGCGGGTGGATCACGAGGTCAAGAGATCGAGACCATTCTGGTCAACATGGTGAAACTCCGTCTCTACTAAAAATACAAAAAATTAGCTGGGCATGGTGGTGTGTGCCTGTAATCCCAGCTACTCAGGAGGGTGAGGCAGGAGAATTGCCTGAACCCAGGCGGCGGAGGTTGCGGTGAGCCGAGATCACTCCATTGCACTCCAGCCTGGGTAACAAGAGTGAAACTCCGTCTCAAAAAAAAATAAATAAATAAAATAAAAAAATTAGATGACAAAATGGGAAACCTTTGAAAAAAATATTTTTCTTTTTCACATTGTTACAATGATGATGGTTTTGTTTTGTTTTCAAGTTCCAACTAGGAATTCCAGTTAGGTTTATCAGGTTCTCTTTTTTGTTTTTGAGACAGGGTCTTGCTCTGTCACTCAGGCAGGAGTGCAGTGGTGTAATAAGGGTTCACTGCAGCCTTGACCTCCTCTACTTAAGCGATCCGCCTACCTCAGCCTCACAAGTAGCTGGGACTACAGGCATGCGCCACCATGGCTGGCTACTTTTAAAAAATTTCTTGTAGAGACAGGGTTTCACAATGTTGCTCAGGCTGGTCTTGAACTCCTGGATTGGGTCAAGCTATCTGCCCACCTTGGCCTCCCAGAGTGTTGGGATTACAGGCGTGAGCCACAGCGCCTGACCTCTGCTTCTTTTTATCTAATTCCAGAGAAAGTGATTTTGATGAAATCATGTAATCTGCTCATTTTATAAACTCATATTAAACCTCAGTGACACATGGAACCGGACAATGACATGATGACAGAGGCCCTGCTGTGTAACTGTGAAGAGTACTGGTCTCGAGTGATGTCAGAAAACCCACCTTGGAATTCTAATTCTGTGCTTTACCAGCTCTGTGACCTTGAACAAGCTGCTTTTAGCCTTCCTAAGGTTTTCATTTTCATGCATGCAAAGTGAGGATGTTTCCTGCTGCACATCAAATGAGGTCATGTGTGTGAAGGAGTCAGGCATTCAAAATGGGCTCTCAAGAAACTTAGGTTCTTCTTTTATCCTTTTTTTTTTTTTTTGAGACGGAGTTTCACTCTTGTTACCCAGGCTGGAGTGCAATGGCGCAATCTTGGCTCACCGCAACCTCCGCCCCCTGGGTTCAGGCAATTCTGCCTCAGCCTCCTGAGTAGCTGGGATTACAGGCACATGCCACCATGCCCAGCTAATTTTTTGTATTTTTAGTAGAGATGGGGTTTCACCATGTTGACCAGGATGGTCTCGATCTTTTGACCTCGTGATCCACCCGCCTTGGCCTCCCAAAGTGCTGGGATTACAGGCTTGAGCCACCGTACCCGGCCTTTCTTTTATCCTAATACTGATTTTGATGAATGTCATTTCTGATAAAACAAAACTTGCTTAAAAAATTGTTTTTTCTTTAAACTACAATTTAAAAAGTAATATAACTTCAAAGAATATTAATTTTTGATTATTTGAAATTTAAAAATGTAAGTGATAAAGGCAGTAAATGCTATTTTCATTTAAAAAGGTTTATATAGGCTGTTTAGAATGAAAAACAATGTCATTAGTTAATGTTTCTGTTTGCTGGCGTTTTGGCTAATTTTTTTTAGCAAGTAAAGAAGCCCTCATGCCCATGGTCCTCAAATGTTATGGTCTCAGGACCCTTTTACACCTTAAAAATTGAATACTCCAAAGAGCTTGTTTTTTTTTTTTTTTTGAGACGGAGTCTCACTCTGTCGCCCAGGCTGAAGTGCAGTGGCCTGATCTCAGCTCACTGCAACCTCCGCTTTTCGGGTTCAAGCGATTCTCCTGCCTCAGCCTCCTGAGTAGCTGGGATTATAGGCGTGTGCTACCATGCCTGGCTAATCTTTGTATTTTTAGTAGAGACAGGGTTCTACCGTGTTGGTCAGGCTGGTCTTGAACTCCTGACCTCATGATCCACCTGCCTCAGCCTCCCAAAGTGCTGGGATTACACGCGTTAGCCATTGCACCTAGCTGGGTTATATCTGTTGACATTTACCATCATATAAATTAAAGCTGAGAAATTTCTCCATAATACCGTAAAATAATTCTTTTTATGTTTAAGAAATCCTTTCATTTTCCTTGCCCCAGTCCACTCTGACAGATCTTTTAAAATTACCATTAGAAAAAGTTATTAGCATGCACCTTGATTTATTTACCTTAAAAACTTTAAGAAATGATCTTACAAGGCTGGGCGCGGTGGCTCACGCCTGTAATCTCAGCACTTTGGGAGGCTGAGGCGGGAAGATCATGAGGTCAAGAGATCGAGACCATCCTGGTCAACAGGGCCCTGTCTCAACTAAAAAAAAAATACAAAAAATTAGCTGGGCATGGTGGAGCGTGCCTGTAATCCCAGCTACTCAGGAGGCTGAGGCAGAATTGCCTGAACCCAGGGGGCGGAGGTTGCGGTGAGCCAAGATTGCGCCATTGCACTCCAGCCTGGGTAACAAGAGCGAAACTCCGTCTCCAAAAAAAAAAAAAAAAAAAAGTTTATGCTAATAGACTATGGAATGGGAAGAACCCCCTATAATAAAAATTGAATCTGAAAATGATTAGGGTGATGATAAAATAACAGATATATGCATACATTCAAATATTCCACACATGGAAGCCTAAAAGAATCCTTTGAAATTCTGAATTATCTTATAAAATGATGATTTGGCTATACAAGAACAGAACATGTAAATACCATCTGTACTCTGTAAACACAGGGAAAAAAGATGTTATGGTACACAAATAGTCATTTGGTTTAATATAAGAACAAAAGTCCTAATAATGAGAACTGAAAACAACAAAACAGGCTATAGCAAAAAGTAACAAAGATGTTTAAACATGAAAACTGGATGATGATTTTTCTGAGTTCTAGAGATGGGAAGTCCATGACTGAATCACCTGATTCCTCCTATTCGCTCCTTACAGTTTTAAAAACTGTTAAATCTATTTTGCAATAAATTTCAGCATGGATCTTTATATAACAGCAATTTCCAAGTTTATGAATACGTATTGAAAAAGTTCTGCTATATAATATAGAACCAAGAATACAACATCCATTTTCTCTTTCCTCTCCTCTTTTTAAACTCAAATACCAATCTTTTAAAACACTTATTATCATTATTATTTAGAGACGGGGTCTTGCTATGTTGTCCAGGCTCGTCTCAAACTCCTGGCCTCAAGCGATCCTCCCACGTTGGCCTCCCAAAGTGCTAGAATTACAGGTATGAGTGAGTCACTGTGTCTGGCCTTAATATCTTAAAAGATGGGGGCATAATTACTTTTTATATATTACCCGTATATGGAAGAGAATATTTTTCTTACAAACTTATTATGTAAAAGTTTCTTTTTTTTTTTAATTGCATTTTAGGTTTTGGGGTACATGTGAAGAACATGCAAGATAGTTGCATAGGTACACACATGGCAGTGTGATTCACTGCCTTCCTCCCCTTCACCTATATCTGGCATTTCTCCCCATGCTATCTCTCCCCAACTCCCCACCCCCCGCTGTCCCTCCCCTATTTCCCCCAACAGACCCCAGTGTGTAGTGCTCCCCTCCCTGTGTCCATGTGTTCTCATTGTTCAACACGTGCCTATGAGTGAGAACATGTGGTATTTCATTTTCTGTTCTTGTGTCAGTTTGCTGAGAATGATGTTCTCCAGGTTCATCCATGTCCCTACAAAGGACACGAACTCATCGTTTTTGATTGCTGCATAATATTCCATGGTGTATATGTGCCACATTTTCCCTGTCCAGTCTATCATCGATGGGCATTTGGGTTGGTTCCAGTTCTTTGCTATTGTAAACAGTGCTGCAATGAACATTCGTGTGCATGTGTCCTTATAGTAGAATGATTTATAATCCTTTGGATATATACCCAGTGATGGGATTGCTGGGTCAAATGGAATTTCTATTTCTAGGTCCTTGAGGAATCGCCACACTGTCTTCCACAATGGTTGAACTAATTTACACTCCCACCAGCATTGTAAAAGTGTTCCTATTTCTCCACATCCTCTCCAGCATCTGTTGTCTCCAGATTTTTTAATGATCACCATTCTAATTGGCGTGAGATCGTATCTCAGTGTAGTTTTGATTTGCATTTCTCTAGTGATCAGTGATGATGAGCATTTTTTCATTTGTTTCTTGGCCTCACGCATGTCTTCTTTTGTAAAGTGTCTGGTTCATATCCTTTGCCCACTTTTGAATGGGCTTGTTTTTTTCTTGTAAATCTGTTTTAGTTTTTGTAAATTCTGGATATCAGCCCTTTGTCAGATAGGTAAACTGCAAAAATTTTTTCCCATTCTGTTGGCTGCCGATTCACTCTAATGACTGTTTCTTTTGCCATGCAGAAGCTGTGGAGTTTGATTAGGTCCCATTTGTCTATTTTGGCTTTTGTTGCCAATGCTTTTGGTGTTTTGGTCATGAAGTCCTTGCCTACTCCTATGTCCTAAATGATTTTGCCCAGATTTTCTTCTGGGGTTTTTATGGTGTTAGGTCTTATGTTTAAGTCTTTAATCCATCTGGAGTTATTTTAGTGTAAGGTGTCAGGAAGGGGTCCAGTTTCTGCTTTCTGTACCTAGCTAGCCAGTTTTCCCAACACCATTTATTAATCAGGGAATCCTTTCCCCATTGTTTGTTTTTGTCAGGTTTATCAGATTGTATGATTGTAGATATGCTGTATTGCCTCCGATGCCTCTGTTCTGTTCCATTGGTCTATATCTCTGTTTTGGTACCAGCACCATGCTGTTTTGATTACTGTAGCCTTGTAGTATAGTTTGAAGTCTGGTAGTGTGATGCCTCCTGCTGTGTTCTTTTTACTTAGAATTGACTTGGCTATGCGGGCTCTCTTTTGGTTCCATATGAAGTTTAAGATGGTTTTTTCCAGTTCCCTGAAGGTCATTGGTAGCTTGATGGGGATAGCGTTGAATCTGTAAATTACTTTGGGCAGTATGGCCATTTTCACGATATTGATTCTTCCTAACCATGAACATGGAATGTTTCTCCATCTGTTTGTGTCCTCTCTTATTTCGTTGAGCAGTGGTTTATAGTTCTCCATGAAGAGGTCCTTTACGTTCCTTGTTAGTTGTATTCCTAGGTATTTTATTCTCTTTGTAGCAATTGTGAATGGCAGTTCGTTCTTGATTTGGCTTTCTTTAAGTCTGTTATTAGTGTATAGGAATGCTTGTGATTTTTGCACATTGATTTTGTATCCTGACACTTTGCTGAAGTTGCTTATCAGTTTCAGGAGATTTTGGGTTTAGACGATGGGGTCTTCTAGATATACTATCATGTCGTCTGCAAATAGAGACAATTTGGCTTCCTCCTTTCCTATTTGAATACCCTTTATTTCTTTTTTCTTGCCTGATTGCTCTGGCTGTAAAAGTTTATTATACTAAAGAGTTTATTATGCTAAAAACTTAAACCTTACTTAAGTAACATACATATAATTTGAGATGAAGTCATGCTCTATCACCCAGGCTAAAGTGCAGTGATGCAATTATAGCTCACTGCATTCTCAAACTCCTGGGCTTAAGTGATCCTCTTGCCTCAGCCTCCCAAGTAGCTGAGACTACAGGTGCATGCCACAATGCCTAGCTAATTTTTTAAGTTTTTGTAGAGATGGGGCCTCCATATGTTGCCCAGGCTAGTCTTGAACTCCTGGGCTGAAGTGATCATCCCACCTCAGCCTCCCAAAGTGCTGGGATTACAGGTAAGAGCCACTGTGCTCAGCCTTACTTCAATACTTAAAACAAGAAATTAATAAGAGTTTTCTTACAAAGATGAACATTTCATTATGTTCACAGAGAGAATTGAAGAGTACTCAGTTATCAGAATAACTAAAGTTAAAGATGCAAATATTTAGCTGCTCAAAAGCTTATCAGTAGGTAATTCATATTCATTTTATTTTTTAAATTAGGTAATCTCTTCTTTATTACCTGATATCTGAGAGTTGCAATTGATGAGACAGTTCATCTTTTAAACGATCTAGTTCTTTTCTAAGTGGCAAACTGTTCTCCAGCTTTTTGACAGCACTTTTCCCATTGTTATCTAACCAGGATCTAGAAAGAAAAAGGAGATATATATATATATATATATATACTTTGCAATACTAACTATAATATAAATATTTCTACTATTAAAAGACACATGCATGCACTTGAATATTCACAATATTAAAGATTTGGAATCAACCTAAATGACAATCAGTGACAGATTGGGTAAAGAAAATGTGGTACATACATGCCATGAAATACTATGCAGCCATAAAAAAGAATAAATTCATGTATTTCATGGAAACATGGATGGCGCTGGAGGCTATTATCCTTAGCAAACTAATACAGGAACAGAAAACCAAATACTGCATGTTCTTGCCTATAAGTGGGAGCTAAATGATGAGACCACATGGATGCGGGAACAAGAGACACTGGGGTTCACTTGAGGGAGGAGGGAGAGGATCAGTAAAAATAACTATTAGGTACTAGGGTTAGTACCTAGGTAATGAAATAAACAGTACAACAAACCCCCATGATGCGAGTTTATTTATATAACACACCTGCACATGTACCCCTGAACCTAAAAGTTAAAAAAAAAATTATGGCTGAGTGTGATGGCTCATGCCTGTGATCCCAGCACTTTGGGAGGCTGAGGCAGGTGGATCATGAGGTCAAGAGATCAAGACCATCTTGGCCAACACGGTGAAACCCCATCTCAAAGTTAGCTGGGTGTGGTGGCATGTGCCTGTAGTCCCAGCTACTCAGGATGCTGAGGCAGGAGAATCACTTGAACTGAGACTCCATCTCAAAAAAAAAAATTGTACTCAGAAAAAAAAGGACACATATGTTATCTTAAAGCAGACCCAGTGTTAAACTGAGTTTTCAATCAAACCTTTGTTTCTATGTATTCTTTTTCAGAATACCTACTTTTAAAATAAGTTGCTTGGAGAACTGCCAACAACTGTCAAATCATATTCTAGTTATGACAACTTCCTTCGCATATTAAAAAAAATTAAATTTTAGTTACATCAAACCAGTCACTAGATTTCTAGAGATAGAATAATTTTTTAAAAATTAAAAAGACTTCAAAGCATGTTTATTACAACCTTCAGTAGGCTATTCTAGATCTTCACTGACATCAGTCATACACATAGGGGAGCATAGAACTAATACTAATTATGAAGCAAGTGAACAAATATAATGGAGCTAAACAGGTGTAAAGTCAAACTTGACAGATATATCCGACAGTACTAGTGACAAGAGGCAATGGGTCCTGATGAAGGAACATAAAGATTACTTTGTGGATTCTTGTTGGATGGACTCTGGTTTCCCCTTTATTTTAGTCTTGGATATTACTACCCTGTGCTCCCAATGCTGATTCCCTCATCCCTGTAACCTAGTCCCTCCACGGGTCAGACTTTGCCAATCTAGTCATTTGCCACAGTCTTTTCCAGGTGGGTCTCTTCACCGCCCTGGTGCTCACTGACACCTCCATTCCTTTCTACACAACCAAACGTCTAGTTTCGGTGTCATCTCAACTGTATTAACTCTATAATAAGCTCAGCAGAAAGATATTTCTTAGAATGTTTATCTCAATTGTCTTATAAGAATAAATAAATATTAAAAATCCTTTAAGGATAGGAAGAATAGCTTTCAGAAAAGAGCCGAAAGCCTGTGTGGCCTTCTAGAGAGCAGCAGTGCCTCTGTAGAAACTGTCTCTCACTTGGTGCTATAATCATCATGACACAGGGGTGCTTGTTACTGCTCAGGGTCACTGGCTCCCCAAGGGGAGTCCAGAGAAATGAGCGACCTGGATGGAGTCCTGGGAGGCTGAAGAGCTGTTGCAGGAGTAGGGGGTGGGGGTAGAATGGCAAAGTGACTCTGGGCTGAGGGGAATATTTTAGATTCTAAAACAAAGTGGTGGGGGTGGGCCCTAGGCATTACTATGCAAGAGAAAACTCCAGGAAAACCAGAGGTTCCCTTTCTTCTTCTTCTTCTTTTTTTTTTTTTTTAAATAGAGACTGGGTCTCATTTAGTTGCTGGGATCAAACTTCTGGGCTCAAGTGATCCTCCTGCCTCAGCCTGCCAAAATGCTGGGACTACAGGCATGAGCCACTGTGCCTGGCCATTTTTTCTTTTAACAAAAATTTTTTTTGGCTGGGTGTGGTGGTTCATGCCTGTAATCTCAGCACTTTGGGAGGCTGAGGTGGGTGGATCATGAGGTCAGGAGACTGAGACTATCCTGGCTAACACGGTAAAATCCTGTCTGCTAAAAATACAAAAAAAATTAGCCAGGCATGGTGGCACATGCCTGTAGTCCCAGCCACTTGGGAGGCTGAGGCAGGAGAATTGCCTGCACCCAGGAATTAGAGCTTTCAGTGAGCTGATATCACGCCACTGCACTCCAACCTGGGTGACAGAGTGAGACTCCATCTCAAAAAACAAACAAAATTCATGGACCATGCTAATCCTCTCTGTTTTGTTCCAATTTTTCTGAGATGGAGGTCTCACTATGTTGCCCAGGCTGGTGTGATCATGGCTCACTGCAGCCTCGACCTCCTGGGCTTAAGCGATCCTCTAGCCTTAGCTAGAGGATCTCTACTAGCTGGGACTACAAGCATGTGCTACCATGACCACCAAATTTTTTTAAAGTTATTATTTGTAGAGATGAGGTCTTGCTATGTTGCCCAAACTGCTCTTGAACTCCTGGGCTCAGGTGATGCCCCCACCTTGGCCTCTCAAAGTGCTGGCATTATAGATGTGACCCGCTGTGCCTGGCCTCATTTCATTTTTAGTATATGTACTGCTGGAGTGAGCACTAGGTTTCTTAGTAGTCACTTTAAATGTTTTAGATGTTGTGATCTAAAGCATTTAAAAATTATCAAGTTTAGAATATTGAAACTGACAAATCATTATGCAAGGAAGATAAAGTCCCTGTTTTAAAGGAAGACAGATCTAACAAGGAATATAGAAATAAGCAATTAGAATAGAATATAAGAACTACCATGAGAAAAGAAGTAGTAATTATTCCTGGAAGATTCTATAGAACCAGTAATATGTGATCTGGAACCTGAGAGATATATCAGATTTTTCCAGGTAGGTGAGAGAGAATGGCATGTCAATCATATTAGTACATAAGGATCTGTGAGATGAACCCATATGCCCAGATGACAGGATGCTTAGAGGGAGAGAAGGGCATAGAAGAGACTGCAGAGGCACTGGGGGTGAAGTGTGGTCAGACCATGAAGGGTCTTGCACATTGAGAAAGGGAATTGGAAGCTTATCCTCTAGGTGAAAGTGTTCAATTTTTTAAAAATCCACTGACTTTGTGTAGCAATTGATAATCCTCCCTATACCCTCTTTAAGAATATTGGTAAAATTTTGTCACTTCTGCATGGTGTGTAATCGAGTAGGTAAAAATACCTTAATTTACATTACTACTGTTATATGGCATTACAATTTTCCAACTTTTCCTCACTCATTAATACATGTTACTCAACTTTAAATCATGTAAGAGAAAGCATGATTTACTGACATACGAATTATTAAATGACACACCATGTTTGGTTTGGGGCCCAAATGTTTTACAACATAGATTTAAATATGATCTTATAATTATACAGTCATGAATTGATTTTTGGAATTCTTACATTTAATGTATAAAAATCATTGGTCTAGCTTAACAATACTTGTGTTTTGTTTCTAAACACTGAAGTAAAAACAAAGGCTCTAAACATGGTTGTTAATATATATAGATATAAAGATAAAGATACCTGTTTCCTGGCTTTGGCCACTGAGAGGATTAGTAGCAACTGAGCATATGTAGCACTGAGATGTTGGTGTTTACACACCATTCCCTACTAGAAAGAACTAGAGCTTCCTGGCAAAACTGCTGAAGCAAACTTTGGGGCAGGAACAGTCCAGATGATCCTGGAACAACTTGGTGAACCAGAAAGTAAGGGAGTACTCAAGGGAAGATGGGGACATAGGCACCACCCTGAAGAGACGATGAAATGAGGAAATCAACATGTGGCAAGCAGCAGAGTAATATGTGATTCAAGCAAGAATCATCAATGAATATTAAAGTGAGCAAGGGAGTAAAAATCTAATGAGTAAAAGGATATTTACATGGCCCTAAGTATCTCCTTAAAAGAAAATAATTAGAGAAAAAAACCTGTAACTTTCTGCAAGAAATTAGTATCGTTGATAATGGGTTACATATACATCACACACCTCCTATATAATCCACTGAAAACAACACACCACCACTTCTGGGGTATGCCTGCAAAAAACTGAATAATCTGATTCTAATTATGAGGAAACATCAGATAAACAAATGGAAAAGCATTCTACAAACTAACTGGCTTGTATTCATCAAGGTAATGAAAGACAAGAAAACAGTGAGGAACTGTTCCTGATTAAAGAAGACTAAAGAGATTTGACAATCAAATGTGGCTCATGATTTGAGATTTTCTTCTCCTAATAAAGGGCAGTGCTTAGAAAATGAGTGACATTTGAATAACATCTAGGGGTTAGCTAATACTATTGCCAGAAGTGTTAATTTCTTGATTTTTATTATTTTCTTTTTTTCCCTAAGGGTTTAGAAAAGCAATTTTTAAAAATTATTTTCTTATATAAGAGAATGTTTTTATATTTTTTAAAAGTACAACTTAGGTATTTAAAGGGCTATTGTGGCTGCAACTTACTCAAATGGTTCAGGGAAAAATGTGTGTGTGCGCATGCATATATATGTATATATACACACACATATAGTTTCTATAGTTATAATGAACATATAAAGGCTCACTCCTGTAATCCCAGAACTTTGGGAAGCTGAGGCAGGCGGATCACAAGGTCAGATCAAGACCATCCTGGCCAACATGGTGAAACCCCGTCTCTACTAAAAATACAAAAATGAGCTGGGCATGGTGGTACGTGCCTGTAATCCCAGCTACTTGGGAGGCTGAGGCAGAACTGCTTGAGCCAGGGAGTCAGAGGTTGCAGTGAGCAAAGATCACGCCACTGCACTCCAGCCTGATGACAGAGCAAGACTCTGACTCAAAAAA